CTGTACCATTTGTGTTCCCCTCTCAGAATGGAAAAGATACAAACTCTGAGTAGCCAGGGAAGCTCAGTTGCAGCTTCTGATTCATTAGGAAAGATGTTACTTAACTTCAGTTAACTGTTTCATACAAAACCACTTAAGTATATGACAACACTAAATACATTGGTTATACGGTTTTTTTGTTGTTGCACTGCGTCTTATCAAGAACTCTTTGTCATGAAAAAGCAACAATTATACAATTCAATGAATGGCAACATTGATTTCTAGTTGGACATCTGTGATCTGACTTTTGACGGCATCCAGGCAAAATTCCACTCTCAGTGGTTCTAACATTTGAATACAACTTTTTTTCTGGTTTAAGCAGATTCTTCTTAGTAGTTCATTATGCTCACAGATGAAAGATGCAAGCCAGTCAATACATCACAATTATAAAGCAAAGCCGACAGGAGCAAACTCCCAAAGCTTCTATTACGAGCAAACAAAAATAATGTTTAAAAAGGACATAAATTATTTCATGAATGAAAAAAAGAGGAGACAAAAAAAAAAACAACCAAGGCAAAAACCCAAAGAGGCAGCCAGTAACACCAGCCCAGTGTCAATGTCACAATTAGCAGAAAAATTAAAAGGAAGGATATTAGGTGGAAAGCAAATCCTATCCACAACAAAAGAAATCACCTATGAATCTTGATTTAAAATTATTACAATTGTCTTTTCTCCTGCCCCTATAATGGATTTCTAAGCTAAAAAAGAGTTTAAATATTGGCTGCCTCAGCAGTCCTGGTGGTGATGGAAAGTCCTGCTTGGGAGCAGAATAAATCAGTACATGACCAGAGACATGACCTTGACTCTCTTTCCTTCTGCATACAGTTCATTTTACCCTTTTTTAGTGAAATATAAAAAGGAGATAATTTAGAATTAAAGGCCATGAGGAATCACATTTGTAGATTATTACATCAGACATTCAATTAAATAATTCCACTCCCTTTATATCTTATGGTAAACAGGACAGGGTAAGGCAGGGTTCGTAGCTTTCAAAACTCAGGTCACTGGATCAAGCTTCCAAGGTTTTCTCACAGGATTCATAACCCCCTCAGTTTCATTTGTTAAGTCAAGAATTTTTCTATGCTCTTCTCAGATAATAGGCTTAATTTTGTGCAGCCTCAGTCTGAACGTGCACAGGACTGGAGAAGAGCATACCCAGGACAGCCTGTACTGCAGGGCCCATGAGCACATCTGCAGAGCAAGCATGCAGGGGCACAACGGGTACAACAGTCACGGATTTACATGTAGAAATATTTGGACCTGAGCAGATCTGAACTGAGAAAGAACAGAGGGAAGGAGTAATCTACGTTGCAACAGCCAAGCACTCGAGGCTGACACACCAGGTTTGCCATGGCTCTTGCAAATTGAGACAGTCAAAGGAGAAGGGCAATAGGGAATTTAATTTGGGGTTCAGACTGTAAAATGTCTTTTACAGACAAGAATGGCAGAACTTCCTGTTAAATAAAAGCACTTTGATCTGTAATGCTGATGCTCTTTTAATTCTACCAAGAACAGTCTCTTCCTTTTCCTCACCAAAGAGAATTCGATAGTCACTCAGTGTCAAGACACCAAAACAGCAAAATGATACAGAGAAAATAGCAGAACATCTGCTGGCTGTGTCCTGTACTTCCTTCTCAGACACACATCTTCCTAAGGGCACGAACGATTACAATTTTATTATCTCTAACATCTTCCTCATCAAATTTCATTCCATTGTCTGTACCAGCTGAGGTGTACTGGGCAATAAGTCTTTTTTATCCTGTTATTTCAATCGAAATTGATTTATTGTGGATCCTGAGCTGACAAGAGTAACATTTCCCACCTCACAACAAAAACTCTGTCTCCATCTTACTTTATATTCTGTTACTTCAGAATATAATCTTAATCTATTCAGGTGTATAAAATATGAGATTTTAAAATTTCAACAAGAAAATCTGTTTTTCTTGAATTTTTAAGGTACATTCCAATTTTCAGGGACCTTAATAATTTTTATTAATACATTGTTGAGAAATACAAAACTTGCTATGCAATTATGCACAGCTTTAAAACAGGTAATTAACCAGAGTTTTCACTTTTTGTTGGTGACATCATAGATGCTATACAGTATCCTGTATTTCAGGGAAATGTGAACAGTTAAATGAAGTTATGACCTTCTGTGATGCAGTGGTGCCACCTTGTAAGTTTTCAGCCTAAGTGCCTCTAACATGTACAAGGAGACAAAAATTAGCTCTGGGGGAAAAAAAAGAGTGTTTCTATATGACTGCAAGAAATTGCAAGACATTTCAACACTTGAGCCTGTTGATGACGAGGAGCATGTGGTTCTGGCTAAGAAAAAAGCATTCATCACTTTAAGATTGCATTAAAAAGGCATGAGAGTGCCCAAAGAACTGCAGCAAAACCCCAACTACTTTCCCCAACACAGATCCAATTACAAACATGAGTTAATTTCACTGAAGTCAGCAGTTACTGGAGGTTAATATGGAAGTAATGACAATGAGTTTTTGGCCTGCAGGCTGTTACAAATCATGGTCACACACACACCTTTAGCTATTATAATAGTGGCTTTAGGTAACATTTTTTCCTTTGTCCATTTGGAAGGCAAATATAGAAATGTCCACTCATAGTTAAGACCTTTTCTGCAATACAAAATGTGTGTCCTCTTGCTTTTAGGCTGAATCCAAAACCATTTTAAATCTAAACCTCTTTTTCTGTTTCAGTTTCTTTCTACATTGCCTGATAATTTGTTTTGAGTAAGCAAGCCTGGTTGAAGAAACACTTGCAAGTGAATCTGTTAGATTCTGACAATAATGCTGCTGCAAAAACACAGCTGGTTTGTTCCACCCTAACAGCATTTAAATCTGCATTGCATCATGCTGCATTGCTACTCACTCAACACTCTTGCTGTAAGAAAGTCATAAGGCATCCAACTGCAGACAACTAAGAAAGTGCAAATACAAAGCTTCTCTAGAAATCGATGCCTTGTATGTGAAATATTTAGCATACACGTTTCTCTCAAACTCCAGGAACTTACTATATTGCACTGGTGTTACAGGAGATGAACATAAGCCAAAAAAAAATAAAGGGAGTTAGGCAATTGCACATATTTGTATCTGCAGTATTCTGCAAGAATTCTCCTTTAACTGTGGACAGGAATATTCCCTCACAGGGTGCTCCGAATTTGTCTTCCTCTTTGTTTCTCAGCTCAGATGGATGACTCCAAGGTTAAACATCTGATTGCAAGCTCAAGTGTCTCTTCAACTGCTTTGTGACATTTAGGTCAGGGAGGACATACAGAAACAACACACCAAGCACATTCCAAGGCAACTGAGGTCTTCCTTTATGAGGGGAGGATGATCTAACGGGAATGACACACAATGTCAGGAAGAAAGGAATTTTGGCTAACAGAAATCTTGAAACATAGAAGAACATTGATGTCAAAAGGAACTGACCTATGTCATCGGCACCAGATCCTTTTCTTGACTGAATGATCTGATCCTGTATCTTGCAAACTGGTACCTTTACAGTACATCTTAGTCATGACAGACAAACATACTTCACAAGGATTTCAAGATTAAATGTCTATCTTGTAAGAAATAAAAAAAATATTAGGCTGACATTTCAATGAACAGGAAGTATTTTTAATATAAACTCTCTTAATGGCAACGTCTTGTGAATAGTTTGAATCAACAAATACATCTAACTTAATCTGCTCAAAAAACAAGGCTGAGGCTTGAATCTCTTCTTACTCATTCTGAACTGAGCATCAGAATTGACTTATGTTAATTTTATCACAAGTGAATAAATCAAAGGGAATTCCTCTATCTAAACATAAACCAGTAGGAGGAAGCATTAAAATACTATAAGCATCACCGAATATCACCACTCTGAAAATATATTCAAAAGAAATGTTATTACTAATATACAAGTTCCATCTTCCCTGCACTTAGACAAATCTGTCCTGTAGACCTTATACATGCAAAATTTCCACTGACACTTTTAATGTCCAACCATACTGCTAGATACATATTCCTTTTTTATGTGTGACATGGGAACAGCAAGCCACCCTGCAAGCTCCCCATACTTAAGAGGTTCCGAGGTAGATAAGCATCACCATCCCTGCAGAAATGATAAAAAGGTTAATTTCTCTACTTTTCAATAAGAATGACACATTTCATCCTTTGAAAGATTTAACTTTATAGTAATCAGGATAATGACCAGAAAGGAAATCAGTATATGCTCAGCCTGAAAATTCTCAAAGCACAACAGAATGCATCCAAAGTTTTAATTGTGATGACCTTGATACAGAAGCCAAGTAAGTGACAGAGCCCTTCTATTGACTGTTAGCACAGTAATTAATACACATATGATTGTCTCCAGGCCCCAGTACCTAAACAATACTGGAAGTAAAAAAGAAAGGACTAGCTGATTTCCAGCTGGAGGGGGAAGAAAAGTATAGAACTGCATTCATGCATTTTATGGGAAAGATTGCATAGCTGGTTTAGAAAGAAAATGTCTTTTCATGTCCTTAGTAGTAGTTCTGTGCTTCTTCAACTTCTTTATGAGTTACAGATGATCATATTCTTCCATTCAACATTATCAGCTCATAGAATGAGTGAAATGCAGGAGCCCCTTTGAGAATAAGGACACAGTTTTAACGTTTATCTTGGGAAGAAATGAATCACGTGTAGAGTTATCACATAGAAAAGGCAAGTATTTCAAGTTTGGTAAGGACATAGCAATCCAAAAAATATTGGTTGAAGGGAAGCACCAAACCCAGCAGCTGCCACTTCAGCGGCCGAAAGGCAAACCTGGGCTATGGTTGTCTTCAACACAGCTTGATCTTGACTGCAGTTCTTCCACCTCAGATAATTTCCATGCAAGATCCCCAGCTGTACAACACAGTGATAGAGGCATCTCATTATTTAAGGCCCGTGCTTTCTTTCAAATACTCTTGGAAAATGCACCAAAGCTAATCTTTCTGTCAAAATCTCTTTTTTTTTTGCACTTTTAAGAGCAGTATTAAATATTCACAAATATAAAAACTATGTGGAAATACTTTTAACATTATTCTGATTCTGACTGTTTAAAAAAAGAGAGGGAGCGAAAAGAAAAACCACAACCCAACAACCAACCATCTCTGCCAGAGTGCTTGGCCAGTAGGGAAGATAAAAATGTGACTGATCCAAATATCCTGTAGATCGTATGATGCTTCTGTCTCTCTGTGGACCAGAATTATTTCAGTACTTTCTGCTGCACCCTAAGAAGTGGCCATGAGAGGACAAAAGCCCCCAGAGTGCCTTCAGTGAGGCTGGACCGGCGAGTCATTTCTGACAACACTGGCTCACAGAAACATCTTCAGATTCTTATGTGGAAAGTACTGCAAAAGAAACAGATTAAGAGGTATAAACACATTGGTCATTATGCACAACATTTTCCTTAAAGGTGCTGTGTAATGAAATTGACTCTCTTCGTTCATGCTCTGAGAAGATTTAGACATTATGTGAGAAAATTCCATCTTCTGAAAATTTTAACTCAGGGGCCAAGCTCAGCACTGGATTACATCCTGTGTAAACAGACCTGTTTCCTGGCTATAGAGCAAAGCTAGATGTTTCCCAAAGGTACTTTTGCTGTGGCACAGCTTTTGGGTTTCTAAGCAAGAAAAATCAGGCAGGTAAAGTTGTTGTTTCTTTTGTTGGGACAAAGAGATCCTGATTGTTATCTTCTTTGTATCTGCAAGGTGATACAGGCAAGCAGCATGCCTTACTACTGGCACCAGTTTTCAGAGGAGCTCCTGAGCATCTAAGCAGGACAGTGAAAGACTTTAGAGAGGACATGCCAAAACCTCTGTCTCTAGGCAGCAATCTCTGTTCAATGTCACAGCAATATAAACTGTATGCTGCTTTCTTGACTGACTGAAATCAGAAGGGATTATTATGTATTATTGTAGGTAAATTCTGTAGTTTTGTTGCCTACACTGAAAGAAAACCTGGTTTGGAGTATTTGAGAGGCTGAAGAGTGCTGGATATACAGTTTTAGGGTGTTTTTTTACCAAAAGAATACTCTTAGTTACAGCTATTAGATTTGGATCAGAAAATCACTGAAGGAAGCTTGTGGTATGTATTTAGATGAGATAAAATTTTATATTCACCGTGGCCCCTAGGAACTTTGTATCTAGGAATTTATTCAGTCTGGGTGACACTGAAAGATGCTGTGTAGCAACCTGGCACACTTGCCTAAGTACTGTGAGAAAAACCAGACAGTGATGCAAAGAGCTTATTGGGACTAAGGCTTTTTTTAAAAAGAAAGAAACATAAACATCTTGTTTACAATTCAAGAAATGTCTTGAGCCCCGTATTAATCCAAACTCTTCAAAATTTAACTCCCACATAGGCAATATCTAGGAACTAAAGCATCCATAGCATCACATGTGAAAATATTTTAGGCATGACTCCTTAAAAAAATATCTATCCAAATCCACCTAACTGGAAATCTATTTATTGGGGAAAAAAAACAATTTTTATCAGTGTCATTTTGGCCTTTGAAGATTCAGCTTTTTACTACGAAGCAGCTGAAATACTCTGTGAAAAATACTGGCAAAAACTATTCCCTTCTACTTTTTGTTTGCTAAGCATCTCATGTCAGTTTGTCACTAGCTCTAATTTTAGTCCTTAAGAACTAACTAATCTGCATGCTGGGACAGGTCTTATGAGATGCACATTCCCTGTAAGAGAGCTTCCTTTACTTCAGCTTTAGGTCAGATTAGAGTCATGACTCCAACTGTTCTATGGGTAAAGGCCCACAAAGGTTCCAGAAATGCTGCATTTCTGATGACATCTTGTTTAATCTGCTATTTCTCTGTCTAGTTCTGGCAGCTCCCAGGTATTACTAATGCCATATTCTTCTCCAACTCCATTTCAAATTGTTATAGCATGCTTTACCCTCGGGCATTCAAATAGGCTGAAACTTCCAGGATGATTTATAGAACAATTTCCTGTGGAAAACGTAACCAGTCTTGCAGAACAGAACACTTAGCTAATGCCAGTTCAGATTTTTAATACTTCCATTAAACTACAACAGCTTCTTCATGGTAAGAATGTTGAGTGCAATAAACCCACTGGGATCAAATTTTCTGAACTAGCAACTATCACTATTATTTACAGCTTACTCAAGCTTCCGGGATAACAGCCAAATCCTGTTCTTCCCTGGTCCAAGATTAACAGTGCTTTCTTCTTGTCTGAAAAAAATCCTCAATGACAGTTGTGCAAATCAAGCAACAGACTTTACTGCATCTTCTTTTGCCTGACAGGACCACAAAGCTTGCAAAGGCTGTCTGTAGGAGAATAAACCTACACAGGGTCATTAAGCAAAGGCTTGAGAGACAAGTGATGGGATAAGGAAAATCACTAAATGTACAGTGAACTTTACAGAGAACTTTAGCTCACACCAGCTCAAAGCCTGGATCATGGTGCCAAAATTAATGCCTGCTGTATATGTTAAATATGCATGATAATATGACAGCTTAAAAAAGCCCCAACATGTAGAGCTGTGTAAAAGAAGTGCTTCAAAACCTGAGTGCATATTGTTATAAAAACCTGGCCTTCAAAGGTTTTCCACAAACAAGGTATAGCAGACACTCTTCAGTAACTTCAAATCTCATGTTAATGAGGATGAGCATTTGCAGTTCGATAGTTCCTATTATAAAAGCAGAAATCACCTGTTCAAGCAACGGCAGAGCTGGGGGTAAAACCTAACTACCTTGTGTCCTACACTTCCTCCTTTTGCAATGGGAAGCAGAATAAGAAGTCTTCACTGCAAGTAAAAATCATTTGGGGTCTTGTAAGTCATTCAGCATTTTCAAGAGGATCACATACCAGGTGTCAGCATAGTATTCTGGGATGAGAAATTCAGAAGTATTGACTGCCCATGGCTTCACAGCAAAGTCTCTTGAAAACTGCAGCTATCCAGCACCTCCAATTGCTCACTGACAATCATTTTCAATGTGGCTATTGCTTTGGTTCCTAGGTGTTCAATTTTCACAGCTGCTGAGCAGCTAAAAGTATAAATCAATAGACTCTCAGTCTTCCTTGAATTTAAATTCTGGAATGCATTCAGCTGGGCACAGAAAGTAGAGATATGCAGAACCAAATGAAACAATGCCTGTCTCTGGACATTGGTGGGCTGGGACTTTCCCATGTCTGCTTAAGATTTCAAAAAGGACAGTTTATTTTAAGTGAAAACATGTTTTGCTATATTTTTGCACTATTGAGAAGCTAGCTGAGGCTACATTTACCCCTGGCAGGTTGTTGATCCGCTACCCAGACACGAGCTGTGCTCTGCACGCTGCGTGTTAGGCTGCACAGCCCTGCCTGCCCTCCAGCTGGGCATGGCCTGTGGCTATCACTTCAGAGAAGCATTAGAGCTGAAGACTCAGAAAAGAGGAAAATGAGAGGCAAGGAATAGAGCTGGAGATCAACTCAGAAAAATATAAGAAAGTATTGTTTCATTAAATGAATAGGCAATGTGTCCAAGACTTATGGCAGAATTGAACTCAATGAACAGGAACTGCTTTTTCTGTAGTGAGGATCAGCTGCAGGAATTCACTCTTGTCCCATGTCACACAGTCTGTCACATGCTAGCAGGCACTGGCTACTGTCAGAGAGCACTGGTTTAGCTTCAGTTCCCAGTCAGATGTACCTATTGTGGCACTAAACTTCCATGAATCCCATTCCCAAAGTCAAATAACTGCCTCGCTTTAGAATACAACATTTACATTGTATTTTAAAAATGACAGCAAGTGACTCAGATCACGAAGTTCAGTATTAAGAAATATGTCAGTCTGTGAAGCAGTGCACTGTGGAGGAATGGCTCTGTGAAAAGGGACATGATTTCCTTGAAGCTGACAACCCAGCTGTAGTGTGGTGTAAGGCCTACAGCAGCTGTGACCGAGCCTTGAACTGCTGATAAGGACCCAGCTCTGCCTGGCAGAGCTGGCTCTGCTCTGAGTCTGGTGTCAACAAGCTCCCTGGAATTCCTGAGAACATCCTGGAATGTGGACAGACACCTGCTTGCTCCAATCATAAGTTTGCCCTGGACACTGGGACGGGGCAATAAACCAATCATGTATCCGCTGCGCTCGCGTACTCTGCGTGAATATCTATATATATCTTGTAAGCACTAAGAATAAAGGAGAACGACCATACTCATATTGAGACTCATCGTTACTCCGGGTCCGGATCCCACTCCAACAGTGCACAGAGGAAAAATATGACTAAGAATGTAAAATGAACAGAAAACCACAATAAGGCAGAGGTATCAAGCCTTCCATACAAATTGGTTTGGATAAAAGTGGTCTCATAACCTTGTCTCCTTCTTTTCCTTTAGCTGTTAACTCTGGCTGAAAAAGAAACCAAATCAGAGAACCTACACATTCTCTTCTCAGCTCTGAGACATTTTCCATTACACTCTGATTTTGCAATGTAGTTTCAACGGCTAAAAAACATGTTGTTGAACCCTGACAAACATCAGCATCTTGAGAGGATTCTATTTTCTTTACATTTATTTCCATCTAAGTCTTCTTTACACTGTTACCCATATAGAAGCTGCTATACGTATAGAAACTGCTGGTGAGAGGCTCTAAACCACTGTTCTGGCTAAGAGGTGGAAGGAAACCCTTTTTTCATGTCATCAGGAGCTCTTAAGCCTAAGGACTTCAGAGACGAATTCTGTGACCCAGCTTATCTCCCGAACCTGAAAGGGGAGGGGAGTTAAGATTTCTCTTGAAGCCAGGCATGCCAAAACATCTGCCTTAAATATATACACCACCATGAGGGAGACATTTTGACAGCATGGAGTTCACCATGTCACGAGCACAGATCCAAGTATATGTGTTTAAACTGAGCAACTGGATGCTCACTCTTTCAAAACTCAGTAGCCTGGTCCCTTGATTTTATTGGTACTCTCTACCTTACCTAAGCTATAACAAGCTCTGAACATACTTCAACCCTTTTTTTACTCATCATCTTGCCCTGTTGAATACTCAGCAGTCAGTTCTTTCCACTCATTTCCTCATCTTCCTGAAACATCCAAACTTGGAAAAGAAAAGTAATCATGACAGTCATTCCAATGGCTATGCTGGCAAACATTCCTCTCAGGAAATGACTGGACTGCACAGCATCCTCAGCTTGGAATTCTCGGTCAGCAGTTTGCAAGCCTCTACAACAGAGCAGTAAAGTCAGACACGGCACAGGAACTTTCCACTCATTTCCTCATCTTCCTGAAACATCCAAACTTGGAAAAGAAAAGTAATCATGACAGTCATTCCAATGGCTATGCTGGCAAACATTCCTCTCAGGAAATGACTGGACTGCACAGCATCCTCAGCTTGGAATTCTCGGTCAGCAGTTTGCAAGCCTCTACAACAGAGCAGTAAAGTCAGACACGGCACAGGAATGAAACTTGAACCTTCAGATCTGCCTTCAGTGCTTCACATTTGGTCACTATGCCTTACCAGATCTGGAGGTGCAGCACAGCCTTTTGACTGATTAAAGGAAGCTACCTGACCCCAGCAGCTTCCATACAAACAGCAGGATAAAGAAAAGGTTTTCTTAGCTGGAAATGTATGTAAACAAAGTGCTAGAATACCTGAGCCTCACTGTAATGATGATATGTATCTTGTTCTAAAAGGGTTTCCTTTGATACACTTGATGAGTCAAGGAATGCTTGGTATGCATAAAAGACATTCAACTAACTTGGCCGTATCTCCTCTCAGGAAGCTGATGTTTTTCCAGGTTCACAGGAATAGTGCTCATGCTTTATCGCAGAATCACATTGTTTTAATGTCTTTCCTTAGAAATTTCATTTATGAAAGAAATAAACTGGTCCATATTCTGCAGGACACTTACAGGTTCTTAAATAACATTAGCATTAAAGATGCTCTCACCTTCTTAGCCCAAAAGATCAATGTTTCCATGTATATTTGTAACATGTATACAATATTTACACACAATCCTACCCAGACAGCATGGATCCTTGCTATAGGCTTAAGAAATATATGAAATTGAGCTTATAATAGATCAAAATATTTTCCTGAAAAAAACACACAAACAAACAGGAATGGGGGGGAAAAGGAGATAATTAAAAGTCACTGAGCTTAGTCTTTGAGTTAGGAGAGAACTGGAATATACTCCAGAAAAGTAAATTGGGTTAGGGTAAAAAGTCATTCCCTAGTCAACTCTCTAGTAAAATACTTCTGTCTTACATTTCTGGTATTGCACTACACAGTGATAGCCTAAAAAATGTACCTGAAAGTATGCAAGAGGCTCACTTTTTCATAAAATAATACCTGAGAAAGTCTGGTGCTTTGGAAATCATGTTTTCAAAATCTGCAAATCCTAGTTTCCCATCACCATCCATGTCAGCTTCTTCTATCACCTTCTCGCAAACCAGAGTGATTTCCTCTGCTGTTAGCTCTTCTCGGGTCAGCTTATTGAGGGTTTGTTCCAAATCTGATTTACAAATGAAGTTATCTGTGTTAAAATCTAAACAATAAAAGAAGCAAAGATCACCAACAACTCTCATACTCATTTACTTCAAGCAAAAAAAGCATACCAGAGCATCTCCATACAGTACCATAGATCTTAAAGGCATAGATTGCTTTAAGCTCTCTGGGAGCCATTTCACTGAGCACGGAGAACATATCCACAAAATCATTGAAGCTGAGGCTCCCCTCTCCATCTTCTGAGAAGGATGACACAATCCTTTCTTTGAAGGGATTCTCCTGTGAAAACCATATATATACATATATATATATTAGTATTTGGAAGATTAAAAGCCCTGCAGACTCCCTGACATTGAGCACTCAATTCCATGGTTGGCTCTGCGAAAACAACTTCTATCTTTTTTCCCCAAATGCATCCAAGAAACTACATTAGTGTGCTTTAGCAGGAAGTGTCAGCAGACCATGCTTGCTGCACAGTACTGCTTCTCACACAGGTTTTCTTTTTCTCTAAACTGCCTTACAAATCTTCGAGTAAAGGCACAAAGAGTCTGAAGATCATTCGCATGTAACAGGTTCTTGACTGGGTGTCAGACTGACACGGTCAGGAGGGTAACAGCTCCTACATGAAGTAGCTGGCACATAGAAACAGGTAATGGCAGGAGGGGAAGGAAACAGAGACCAAGGGAGGAAGCCAAGGTAACAAACAGGGTCTTTAGGCCTTCTGGTGGCCCCTGACTGAAGACTGGAAGAACAAACTGTATTTATGAAACCACTTTCAAAAGTATGTGTCTGCATTGCACACCTGACTGATGCAGAATCATCAATAAACCATCAACCAGACCATGTCTGTTCATTAAGCATGGAGAGTCACATCCCAGCAGAATCTTGCAGAAAAGCCTTTTATTTTCACTCTGACACACATTGGTGTCCAACCTGTGGTCAGACTGACTATAAATTCTAGAGATTTGAATGAAATTTAGACTCCACAGGAGATGATCCTGAAACCCTCTTCTAGCACCCCAGAAGAAGACACTGATCCCATAAACACACAAGCAAGAATAAGAAAAGCTGCTTTATTACTCTGTAGTCCAAACCAAATGTTTTTATAGTAACAAACCAGTATCTTTCTCACAACTATAGAAAACCCCAAAATTAATTTGTAGCTATATCTGTAAAACTGGGAAAATCAATTCAATTCAGCTGAATAGGAATAAAAGACAAATATCACCTGGGTTGTGAGCAACATCTCATCAAAGCTTCTCTACAGATCTTATGTGAAGCCAAGAGACAGGCTAACATATGGATCTCCCATAAATGTAAACAGATTCAGTGGTGGCATGTCCTGTTCACTAGTTTTAATATGTATGCAGCATTTTGTTGGGCTTTAAAAGAAGCAGTATTGTGAAAGCTCAGAAGCTGAATCTTATAACCATTTAGCTTCTTTTTTTTTCCCCCTGTAAGTTTAGTTATGTAACAGGTATTCATAAAGCATCAAATTATTTTAAACGGAATTTCAAAAACCAGCTATATTTGAGAGGAAAATGACCAGAAAATGTCACTTTTCAGTTTACTTGAATGCTTTCTGGATAATTCACGTGCCAAGGGAAGGGCAATGGAGCACAAGTCTGATGAGGAGCAGCTGAGGGTCAGCCTGGAGAAAACAAGGCTCAAGGGAGACCTTATCATTCTCTACAACTACATGAAAGGAGGCTGAAGTGAGGTGGGGATCAATCTCTTCTCTCAGGTGACAAGCAACAAGATGAGAGGAAACAGGCTTAACCAGGACCTTAACCTCACCAGGAGAGGTTCAGACCTGATAGTAGGAAAAATTTCTTAACCGAAGGGGTTGTCGAGCCCTGGAACAGGCTGTCCAGGAAAGTGGTGGAGTCTACATCCCTAGAGATATTTAAAAGTCATGTAGATATGGCACTTGAGGACATAGTTTAGTGGTGGGCTTTGGCAGTGCTGGGTTAAAGGCTGGACTTGATAATCTTTTTCAACCTAAACAATACTATGATTCAAAATTCAATACTAAATGCCAAGCTCTCTCCAGTCCTTCTGGCTGCGATAATGGCCAGGACCAAGGCTGTCTTAATGGATAGGTGAAGTAGGGACCACAGAGACACAGGCTCAAATGACAGCCCATTAAAGTAGTCAATACTGAACACAAATTCTCCTGCAGGGTTTGATGACTGGAGTCATTCCACAACAGCGAGCATGCCTACAGATTTCAAAGGGTAAGAGATTAACAAGCTCACTGTGCTCTGAGCTGCAGACATAAGGCCGAGCTCACTATTCAGCTGAAGACAAAACCAGGTCAAATAAAATTAGAGTAGAAAAGAAGAATTCCTGAAAAAAAAAAAGACAGCAGCCTCAAAAAGCAAAAGGGTCACAGCTCTACAGAGTCTCAGAATGAAAAACAACACCCCAGAACTAGGCAGATGGCCGAGAGAAACTCATTGTGAAAGCATACGTAATGATCGCTCATGCCACACGCATGACGTGCAGGGATGGCAGGTGCACATCTGTGGCTACTGCTAAGGCTAAAGTATCTGACCTGAAAGCCTGGAAATGTGCCTGTTTGTGGTATACACATACAGACACGCAGTGTGTGTCTGTTGTTTCCAATCACCAATTTACTAAGTCAAAGTAAGTTCCATTTGTGCTGAAACCTATGAAAAAGCTTACTTTCTTCCTAAAAGCACACACACAAGAAAGGTGTATCTGTTAAATGTTTAATATTACAGAATCCTAAACATCAGAATGGATGCCAAAGCACGTTAAAATAACTATTTTTTATTTCTAAATACTATATAGCGTTCTTTGGGACAAACCTCATCGGAACCAAGTGTCATGGCAACAGCTGCAAACAGACATCTTAGAGGCAGCATTGGGTAACAAACAGGGGAGAACACAGATGCAAATATTACTATCAGCAGCACCTATCAAACCTGGGGCTCTGTGCATTAGAAATGCTAGGCAGGATCTCACTGACTCAATATGCATACTGCACTTGCGTAAGGTGAGTTATCTATTTGGCATATCAGAGATCTTGAAAATACACATGAATTAAGAATGAATTAAATGGACCTGAGCATACTTCTTAAGCAACTCTTTGCCAAATGAGTCTCTAAAACCTAACTAAAAAATAAAATCTTTCCTCATATTGATTTCTTTTCTTTAACTTTCTCATATTATCTGTCTTCGGGCAGTATATCTGTGGCTTACACAATGGAAAGTATTAGCTTACCTTCACAGATACTTTTCACATCCTTTCTGTAATTTCATTACCTCTACTCTAAAGAGCACAGATTAAGGTTCCATCATACTTAAAGGAAAAGCCACAGAGAAAGGGAGTAAAGGGGAAAATGATACTGTTCCTTCCTAGATTGCTTTCCCTTAAGCACTAATTGTTTAAAAAAATCCTTTTAAAACTAGAAACTTACATTTGCTTTGGTAAAAAGCTTTTTCTGTACTCTCACAATAAAAATGAGAGGGGAGACAGAAACAATAAAGAAAATTACAACTGAAAAAAACCTGCTGTTCCACAAATTGATACCATTGCTGTAGTGGCTTGACATAAACCTCCTAGATGTGCCATCCTGTCTTTGTAGTGATCACTTCTTCTGGTGAGAGAATTGTGTTTCTGTACATTTTTGAATGCCATGTGGCATCTATTCCAACATACAGACCTAGAACACCATACAGTAAATTATAACCATTAGTTTGCTGACAAACTATTACAGGCTTTATTCCTGCGACTGCAGCAAAATCTTACCAAGACACTTGTTATGTTCCTCTGTCCTCTAGTTTCCATCACAGGCTCTAGGAAAGCACTGTGGTGGCCTTTTGCCCTGTCTGTTTTGTAGCGCGATGAATTAATTCCAAGCACTCTATCCTATTCCCACAAGCTGACTGCATTTCCGAAAAAGGAGGTTGCAAGTAAAGGTCTAAGGTCTAAGATATTTGAGCTTGAGATGCTGGAGAGTCATTACAAAATGCTTCTGAGTTTTACATTCACAGAAACAACAGTGATCATTTTCTCTTTTGCATCTGAATATAAGTCCCCACTGTCTTCACAGAATACACAAATCCAGGATGCACAAAGCAGTCTGCTTTGCAGACTACTGAGAGTCAGAATCCCATTGGATGCTTTAATCAGGAATTGTTCAGCACTGACCAAAAGCTAACCTTTCACAAATTTCAGGAGTCAGTCCTCCAAAAAAAGCCAGAAATGAACTGTTATCAGACAAACGTTAACATAAAAATGGCTTACCAAAACGGGATGATAATACTAGTTCTGAAATGTGTGATGAACTCACTGTTCCCTACGTGTTCTTCCTTCCTCCTGGCTGACTCCTGGGCCTGTTGCCCATTCTGTTTTGGAAGGGTGTGGATTTATGAACTACCTTACTCCCTCCTGCAGCTAATGACAAGGCCTACGAGGATCAATGAAGTTATTGCACGAGCCAAAAACCAGAAAGCACCAGAGCGTCAAGGGAGTGAAAGCAAGAGGGTTCCTCCCCGGGAAGCCCCGTCCTGAGCAGCTCCTGACACAAGGATTGCTCCACGCAGCCATACCCAGACAAGGCCGCGCTGACGCGAGGGTTCGGACAACTAGGGACGTGTGTTTGGCCCCCTCACCCACGGCTACAAACCATATATGATTTCTGTCACCAGGCTGCGTTCCTGGGATTGAGAGGGTCAATATCCCTGTGGGAATGACAGGGATAATGTGAGCGACATCAGCTTTGTTTTGAAATAGTGTCACTTCTACTTTCTCCACGGTCTCACACTGAATAGCCCAGATCATGACTACAACTTTGCAATATTAATTGCAGCAATCTCACAGGTGCCCAGATGCCCTGAAGGTGATTTATTAGACTGCTGCCTGTGCTACCAAGATTGTCAAAATTAGAGAACAGAGACAACAACGAAACTGATGAAGTAGCTGTTAACTTCAGTGTAATGGTAGACCTAATCAACTTTAAGTATCTGCTCCTTGTTTATTTATTTATTTCTTGTCCTGACTTTCAAGAATCATGAGTTAGTGAATAATTCATTACCAATTAAAGTGAGTGACCACCAGCATTTCTTTTTCCTTGAAACACAAAAATCCTGGCTCAAAAAATTAAAGTATGAGGTAAAGATCTTTCTTTGTAGTAGAAGAATCTAAATTAGAAAAGTGCATTATTGATTCTATCCATTTGTTAGAATCTGCAGTGGTATTGAGCTCAATGTTGCCAGTAACTAGAAAGGTAATGTGTATATGAAAAAAGCCAGGTGCATTGAAATTAGCAGTAATTTTATTAGAATTCAATAGACATTTAGTTCATTTATTTCTATTTTTAGATTTAAATGTTGTCTTTGCCTTCACCTTGATGAATATTTACTGAAGAAAACAAACACTGCAATGATTCCTTTGGCAGTCTGGTCAAGTTGCAAAGGTTAAAGATGTTTTTTCATGTAAGAGCTAGAATTACCACCTAGATTGCTTGAAAAATGAACCCTTGGGGAAAGACTGTCCTTCCCTCACCCCCACCTGCACAGGTAATCACAAGATGCTTCACAGCCAAGCTTGGTCCCCATTTATAACTGAGATCTTACACAGCATTTTGATATCTTTTAGGGCCAATGCTTTGAAAGAATTATAGAATAAGGTCTAGTCTCCTCTTGATGATATTTTACTAGAAACAAGCTCACTAGCTATTGAAAGAACATTTCTCTGTGAGCTGCCAGCATTCCTGAAATAAAATCAGTGCTTTGACAGCAATATTTCTAAGGTTCTTCTGCAGACTTATGATACTTGGGAGAGAATTTGTATAAAATTCAACACTGAATTTGTCCTGCTATTTTCATAAATTCAAGTTCCTTTACCCTGGAGACATCATCCAGTTAATTCCTTGCTTTGCTTTGCTTGTGAGTGCAGCTTTTGCTTTCTCTATTAAACTGTCTTTATCTCAACCCATGAGCTTTGCTAGTTTTTACCCTTCTGATTGTCCCCCATCCCATCGGTGGGGGAGTGTGTGAGTGGCTGCTGGTTCTTGGCTGCTGCTGGGGTTAAACCACGACAAAAGCTTAATGATGCTTCATGCAACTATCAAATTGAACAAATAGTTGTTTCTACATTTTACTAATCTAAAGACATCGACTAATTAGCATACATAAAAAAATAGACCATGAGAACAAACACAACATAATTCAATGAACTGTTCAAAACGTAAATGCTAAAAATCCAGATTTGTCCTGTTAAAATCATAGTAAATTGTTGACCTGATAAAAGAATAAAAACAAATAGTGTATCGGTATTTTTTTGCTCTGATTGATTTATGCCTACTGCTTCTCTCATTTCCAAGTACATGGACTGGCTCTCCACTTCCTATTGGTAATGCCTCCATGAAAATGAAACCCGCTGATAATTAAGAAAACTATACTTATTGTGTTCAGGCAGTTGAGAAAAAAGGGGAAAACCTTTCCTTTATATTAGCAATGCTCTGCACACCTCTAGCAAATTTCCCATCAACATACAGAGTTAAGAGCTTCTGATTTCTAACCAGCTCTTCCCACAGAGATCCCACTGGTCTCAATATACACAAAGGAGAAAGACTGCCAAATTTCATTTTAGTTCCTATTAATTTCCTTCAACATCTATCCCAACTATCTCTGCAACAGAGAGAGCCACCTAAGTATTTTTCAGTTTCTGGGGCTGGTTTTGCCCCTAAACAGTAATAGGAAGGGGAAGACCTCGGCATGCCACATTGCTTCAGGACATCAAACTCACTTGTCAAAACATCTGGCAGATGAGCTACGTAAGTCAAGATACAGTTTGTAAGCAGTCAGAAGTGATACCTTTAGCTCAGGCATGTTTATTATGAGCTGCATAGGTAGTTTAACATCAGGGTCCCTTGTATAGTCCATGGGCACAACATTTGGTGCCATCTCATAGTATCGGCCATGCAACCTGTAAACAAGCAGAAACAAACAGCCAATAACCAAGGGTAAATAACCAATTCCATTCATACAGTAACCAGATACAAATTTGTCTTGCAGCTCTAATTACTGTTTTTAGTGCACAAGTCTGAGCCCACCAAATTGCCATCTTTTTGAACAGAGGGCTTTGATGCAGTATCCAGCCTAACTGCTACCAACACCCACACATCCCCTAAGCAGTGTTTCATACTACTTGTTCCTAACACTTAGGCACTGCACAGATGAAGTAGGCCTGAACCAAGGTACTAACACCCTGAGAATATCCCAGAATCACAGCTTAGTGCAGACTGAGCTGCAAGAAGTTGTTGTTTAACGGCCCAAAGAACTTAAAAGCCAAACAACATGCAACTCTGATGTTACATACACCAGATCCCTTGGGAGACCTCACTTCTCAGTTAAAAAAGCCCTCTGCCTACCTGTGCCTCATTAACATCACAGACTCGGTTTTACAATTGTAGCACTGGCTGACAGCAGCACACAGACCATTTCTACTTTATTCTGCCTCACATAGTTTTGTTCCACTCTTGGCACAGTTTAATCATCAAACCAGCATATTTCAAAGGCAATAAACAAATGATTTTACAGAGAGATGCAAGCTGAACACTCATAAACCCAGTTCTGCTCTCTAAAGCTTGCTTACCATGCTAACAGAATTATGCTTTGGAAGAGAGCTGAAAAAGGAAGAGCCAAAGGTCATGGAATACATGGATGTGTCTAAACGTTTAGAAGCTGGCCACTAGTAAATTACAAAAAAATCTGTCTCAGTCTTATCCACAATCTGGGCAAAGACTGCACAAATGCTTCTACAGCATTACTTCAAATTGTTAATTGAACTAACTTAACAAGAGTTGATCCCACCCTTTATTTGCTGTCTCCAAATATCTTACTGAATGAATGCAAAAGCACAGTCTGAAAGGGAGCAGAAAAAAAGAGACCTAAGTGAAGAAAACCTCAAATCAAGCAGGATGTAAATTTTAAAACTATCTTAGCACATTTATTCTCCCTGGGATGCTCAAACTAGGAATTGAAACATTTCAAGTACAATTGGTACCCAATTCAAACTCACCAATGGATATCAAATTTTGAGTTCTCAAACAAATTACAGACAGAAATTGTCTGGTAAGTAAATATTTTCTAATTTTACTGATTCTAGTAATATCTCATTCAAGTGGACAAGTATCTAGAATCCAAGACTGTATGTATGAATATCATATGTGTAAAAAGAACAGGAACAAAGATTAGGTAGTTGCTGACCACAGGAAACAACGTGTACTATAAATTGTAATTCCTCCCATATGTGGAAGTTTATTTGCACACCTAATTCATAAACTGCTCCGAGCAGAAAGTGATCACTCAGTCGTGTCTCGTGTACTCACACAGAGTATTCTGGTCTCTCATTAGGTCACGTGTACTACTTCCATATATTAAAAAGCTGTATTTTGTGACTTACTTTCCTTTTAACAAAAAATCCTGCCTGCTCACTAGGTGTACTAACAATTACAAATAGAAATTACCAAGTTTTAAACAGCAGAACATAAACAAACCAGTAATACAGGAAGTAGTGCGTCACCAACCCCTTCATCTTTCCAGCTTTAGCCTCAGCAGCTCCTCAGTCAGCCCCACATGCAACTGAGACATTTCTGATTCAGATGGGGAATTAATTTCAAAAACTAGGAGAAAATAATCTACAGGCATCTCCTTTCTCATTATTATGATGTGTCACACAGAGCACGTGAACACGTTTCCTCTGGATCTTAGCAAACTGCTCTCTGCACAGCAATATATTGTGCCATACTGCAAACTGGATATTCACTGATCTAAGCACACCTCAGCACAGCTCACCCTGACATTGCATAAACACTCTGTAATTTGAGATACAATAGCCATTTCCTACTCCAGCAACTGATTTCTCCATTGCAAACAGCAGTTACTTCAGTACTGCCAATAACACATTGGTGCTACAATGGAGACCAAACACTAGAATGACAAAGTCCTCACTACGAATACATAGAAAAGCACATCACTGTCACCACTGTGGCTCATGCTGATCTGGAACTCAGTGCTATTTTGATGGAAATACTAAACCTCCTTATGATGCTCATCAAATCCCGTAAGAAATTTTGAAACAATACATAGGTGAGCAAGCAGCATCACTCTAACCCAAGAAAAAACCCTATAAGGCATATGGTGGGTCATGATGCTGTGTCCCAGATCCATTTGCTGTGAAGCAACAATCATGTTTCAATGACAGAGGCTTAGAGGGAGAAAGAACAAAGAGAGAGGACAGCCACAGCTCTTACCAGCTGCTTAGTGGCATTTTCCAGGACATTTCCCAGGACAAAAGTTTGTCTATTTATGCAGTGTCAGTGCAAAGTAAACCTGTCATTTCTTGCTGACAGAATTCACCATCTTGTCCACAGAAGGTACAACCCTCCCAGCTGCATGAAGTTAATCCATATTCTTCAGCATCTGAAAGAAGGATCCAGATTCTCAAATCTAGACTAGACTCTGCTAGAATTAGCTGCAAGGCAGATGCTGGACATAGAAATATGCAAGTAATTAACAGCAGATTTGACGGCAGCTCTGATATCCTGTTTTCCTCCCGAACAATTCTTCTAGTAGTTCACCAAATTGGTCAAAGATCTGTAGGTATAACAGCTTTCTACCTGAGTGGATTTCAAACTAAAACATCCAAATGTGTTTGTAGGAGGTGGCTGTGATCTATCTCCTGCAGACTAAATTACAGCAATGAAAGTCTTTCACATGCTTCTGTCTGCAAGGATCTTGCAACTCTATTTGTGATAGTTTTATCACATGGCATGATTAGCTAATACCACAGTGAAAAAGGCTACTTTTGTTTTAATAATGAAGATCAGTAGTGTATGTTTATAAAAAGTTACTCTTGCCTAGAAAATCTGTTTGTTTGGGGTTTTTATAACAGAGTATTTGGATTTTAGGGCAATACATAATCACAGATTTCTCCACCTTCAGTTCCAAACCCAACAGAGTATGCTGCACTTGCTCCATTATCCTGTATAATAAATCAAACAAAAAAACCTGTCCAACAGAAAACCAACGAGCAACGGTTGCACCTTTTCCCATCGGAAGATCTTTATGCTGGAAGGTTCTTCTAGGACATCGTGCACTGTTTTATGACAAACTGGAATGCCAGTCTATGAAAATGCCAGATTTTGTAGAAAACAGGCTGGAAAAATAACAGACCCACCTCAGCCTCCTAGCAGGATTCTGAGAAAACCACCTATCACAAGGGAAACAGTCCCTTCTGCAGGACTGCCAGCAACACTTCTATTCACTTGAATAATTTATGTTACACCAGGTGAGTACTTACTTTTTGGCAAGGAAACAATTTCTGATCATTTATTCTGTAACACACAGAACACAAAGATCATTACACATCAGGGTTATTTACACCCACAATCCTCCTGCTTTTATGCAATACAGCACTACAACTTGTAGTGCTGTGTACTATGACAAATCCTGTGAGTCAGACTCAGTAATCATTTCCCAAATGCTGCTCTGTTTACTGACTATTCTGACACATCTCTCAATAACATTAATTACTAACTGCAAATAGAAAAGAAACAAAACCTCTGGTAAAGGCTCTAATATTTCTCCTGCTCTTGCAGAAGCAGAAGGCGCTTCAGATAACCTGAACACACCAGAGCAGTTGTGACCTAGAGAGGAAAGGCTTTGTACTCAGCAATCCCCTCACAAGAAGCATATCTGAATACAACCTAAAGCTGCTTTCACTGTCTCTCCTAGAAACATTTCTGTCTTGCCAGGGAAGCAATGTAAGGTTTTGCAGTGCTGTCTGAACACACACAGATTTGGAAAGGCTGCCATTACCATACACAGACCTTCATGGATATTCAGAAAACCAAGACCTGCAAGCAGCCTCACTGTCTTTGCAGTAGTGACTACTACAGATCCTGAAGCTTTAAAGGATTTGCTTTAAAGGATTCTTCTGGATGCACACAGAAGCATTTCTGCATTGCTGGATGTGCTCTCTGTCACCAGGATGTCTTATTTACCCTGCATGGGAGAAGTTGGCAGTACCACCAATGAGAGTGGGAGAGAATGTACTGATAAACTGAACAGCAAATTTAATTTACTGATAATGCTCTGTCCCAGCAGGTATAAGTTTAAGCTTCCTGTACTACCTTTAGGGATTAGGGCTGTGATTCTGTACCACTTTAATCCAGTCTCAACACAGATTGCTGATCTGCCCTTGCAGAAATTTGAAGCCCATCAACCACTCACATCCCTTGCACAAGCACCAACACTTCAGAATCTGCAGTGAGGCGCAGGAAACTCATGTGTTTGAAAATATAGAAGTTTTCACAGTCAGCTCCTTGAGGCAACCAAAGCAGTTGCGACAGCAGTGCAAGAAAGTGGGGGTTTAATTTTTCTATTAAATTAATCCATTAAGGGCAGTATGAAACTTAGCCCTGTAGGCAGCAGTAGTTTTAAAGTCAGCCAGTGGAAACCAGGAAAGCTGTGTTCAGAAATAAAAACACAAGACAGTATTGCACCCACAGCCTATGTTTGGCCAATACTACCTTTCACTCTACCACTTGGGTATTTTACATGGCAAGAAAGCTTCCTCATGGTGCTTCCACTTCTCAAGGGTGCAGCATCCTGGAGCCAGCAAGGGCGACACTGTGCCGGTGTTTGCCGGACACAGCTTCACTGGGATGTCTCCAAACTCCTAACAGTGCCTCTAGCTATACCTCATTAGACATTTTGAAAAGAGAGATTTTTAAGCTTACACCCTGCAGCAACTGTTTTAATTCGCTATTGAGCTTTGCAAGGCAGTCTGACTGTACCAAGGTCACCAGTGCATGTGTTAAAACACAGAGCAGCTCTTCCTTGGCTTGGTATCTACAGACATCTCCACCATTAAAAGTAGTGACATTACAGCTGGCTGGGCTGCCTTTGTAATAGGAACTATACACTGGAGGAGTGCTGAAAACTAAAGATAAAAGCTTGTAATGGCTCATTGATTAGAAATAAGTAGAGGCTTTAAAGTGGCCTTTAGAAACCAATAAACATCTCCCCAATTCTGGTCTTGCCTTCACAGGAACAGTCACTTGATTTATGCTGTAAGGGGAAAACATTTTTATTCAGCAAGATATATCCTAATTGTTCCTAAATAACAGCAATGCATTCAAACACTTTACAGTCAAGACCATCTCAAAGAGAAAATTCTAGATTGTTCTGCATGTTCACAGAAAATGGCTTAACTAGAGCAATGAAACAAGGCAGCAAGTGCTGATGGACAGCCCCATAAGGAGGTCACAGAACCTGTGGCATGACCTTAACAGAGACTGACTCTATGGAAGGAATAACCTGTGCCAGCAGCAGGACCAGCGAAATGCTCAGCTGCTATTCAGCTGCATTTTTGTATATTCACCACAGTGAAAGCTTTAGGCTCCTGTCCAGATGTCAGAGCTGAACAGAACAGCTGCAGAAGGACTTCTGAAAGGTGAAGGAATTCTGTTACTGATATGCCTTCTCCCTTTTATGCTTTCCAGTTGAAGTTATTTTCATTACAGCAGTAAAAGACAGTAACTGGACACAGAAATCAGATTCATAAAGAGGCAGACAAGAGGATGAGAAGAGGTGGATAGACGAGCTTTCTGCTGGTTTTTAGTTAACACATTAAGTGTTTTTTCACCTCTGCAATGCAAAATGAAGAAGTACAAATTAATTCCAGAGAATACTAGATAAATATGCTCCCAAATCATCTGCAGTAAAATTAAAAAGAAATCAAAAGAAATGTTTTTGGCAGACAATGCATAATAATAAATTTATTCTAAAAGATCTAGTCATACTTAGGAAGACTCTGCTCTTCCCAGAACTACAGGATGTATAGAAAGTATAGATAAAAGCCATTTATAATATTTTTCCTTCCTCGAAGCACCACTCAAACTGCTGCTCACAGGCCTTTTTTTCTGCTGGTGACTCAAAGAACCACAGAACGACTGTGGTTGCAAGGAACTCCCGGAGAACAACTGGCCCAACCCCCTGCCAAGCCGGGGCACCTAGAACAGGCTGCCCAGGACCGTGTCCAGATGGCTTTTGAGTATCTTCAAGGATGGAGATTCCACAACCTGTCTGGGAAGCCTGTTTCAGTGCTCAGTCATCCTCATGGGAAGGGGGGAAAAAAGAAAAAAAAAAGGAAGAAAAATGAGCTTCCTCATGTTCAGATAGAACTCCCGTGCTTTGGTTGGTACCCACTGCGCCTTGTCCAGTCACAAGGCTTTGTGCTCTTTGCACCCTCCAGATCTTAGCTCTTCCAGCCTTTCCTCATATGAGAGATTCTCCAGTCCCTTAACTGCCATAATGGGCCCATGCCAGGCTCTGCAGCAGCTCCATATCCCTCCTCTACTGGGAGACTGTACTCCAAATTCCATACAGACCAACACTGACAATGACTTTGTCTTCACACGAGCCTTAGCAAGGCAGGTGCCATCTGAGTAAAATATAACAAAGGAAAGTTTTATGGTACAGAGATGCAGGAACTGTCTAGAAGCATTTTTTTCTCATTCACGTAGATACAGAAACATTATTAACAATAAGAATAGAAACCTAATTAAAAAGAAGATCAATAGCAGCTTCAGGATATATGTTCTTCCTGTATGTAGCTTCTTGCCTTAAACTCAGGAAGATTCGCAAGAGTATGAGTTCCCTCAAACTAGATTCTTCTGGCAGACAGGTTTTTTTACCAACGCTGGCATCACAGGTGTTTCCCTTTTCTGCATACAAACCCCGAACTTTTTGAGAGACGTGATGTGTTAGAAAATCAGGAGATGTGTTTTGACCTCACCCTCCATCTGCACAACAACTTGCTCCACAGGGAGCTAAATCTTGAGCAGTTTGCTGCATTTGCTCCCTTATAAGGAAGGCTTTCCAGACACTTGAAGGAAACCAGTATTTAACTCTCAGGCAGGTTTCAGATTTAAAATGCAGCACATAGCTGGAGTGGCTAGAAGGGCTCCTCTGCACCTCACCTTTCACTCATCAAAACATGCCAGGAAAAAGGCAGAGCAGAGAATGCAACAGAATTACTAATTTTCTTCTCCAAAGAGGTTCAAAGGTTTGCTGACTTTCCAGATGGTGCCCAGTTCAGTAATTTAGTACCATATTCCCCCAGCAACTGCCTAGCTATGTTAAGTTAGCCTCAGGCAACACAACTTATTTTAAAAATTTTGTGCTTTTTGGCTCGGACAGACATCCAAGAACACCTGCACTTGAGTGCCTAGGTATTTGCCAAATTGTACTAGTCCACAGGGAGAAATAGAAATAGATGGGCTGGCTAGCAGACAAGTATTATTACTGGAGTAAAAGCTGTCTGCTAGGAAAATCAGATTTACGAAACAAAGGAAGAGAAATACTGCCTTGTAAGACAACTCAACCATTTGTTCACATTAACAATCACGAGAGAGGAGTATTGTATACATTATACAAACAGATTCATTGCTATGAATAAAGTGTTTTTCCAACCTTTCTTCACGTGTCACTTTTTTCTTCTTAATCCTGTTTCTCCCTACAGATGTTTTCCAGTAAAACAAATCTCTTTTGAATCGCAATGCCCAAAACTAGACAGTCTATTCCTACTGAGGTCCTAACACTGCTGACTGGAATTAAATTCTCATATTTTATAAACAGTGATGACCATAATGCATCCAAGGGGGTGTGTGTTTGTTTGCTAAAATTATGCTAATTTGCTTAGATCATTAATGCCCTACCCCGTTTTTTTTTTTTACATTGCATTCTGCACTTGCACATTTTTCTCAGTTCTTAGCACTTATGTGAATTTCCTTTTGCTCATTTTGAATCTAATAATTTCTCTAATATATTGAGCACCGTTGAAAAAGCTAATCTTGATCTTCATAGTGTCTGCAACTCTCCTCATCTTGATGTTTCTTACCATTCTCACCCATTTTCCAAGTGCAGTATTACCTTAACCAAAAGGTTATAGCACACTTACACAAGAGGACTAACACAAACAAGAATGTGTAAAAGCCATTACCAAAATAAAGATGTGTTGCACCTGCTTCTTTTCTCTGACTTGAAAGAGCTGCCACTCAAAGGAAGATTCACTGGCTGCCTCTGAGCATGTATTATCATTGTCTCCCAGAGTGTTCTGGCATCTTTCCACACAGCACAGTTGTGTCCTGAAGTTACGAACACTGGTCTCCTTTTCACAGTATCCTTAAGAAACCTGGGGCATGTTCTCAAAGCCCTCACACCACCCGTGCAAACAGTAACAGCTCCAAAACTTTGTCAGCTGTGCTGTAAGTATTTTAGATCATGCTTTGAGCCAGCGATAATATATCTACAATACCCAACATTCTTTAACATATTTTTGCCCTAGGCCCACTCTCTTAGTTGTGATAAGCACTTCCCAAAATCAACCATCTTAAATAAAGACTCACTTACTGCACACACATTCTGACTCATTCAGTCACACCACCATGCTTCACGAAAATGTACTCCAACCATGTGACTGAATTTTAAACTGCAATAATTATGTAAGAGGCACCTGGACCAAATTACATCCTGTCTTATGTAGTGGTACTGCAATGTTCTTCCTGCATAGTGGTCTCAGATGTTGTGACTGCTGAGGAGTGCATCACTTCTCCATGAGCAATGAGAACAAGGCATGCTGAAATACCAGCAAAAAATAAAACACTCCACTCAAAGTAAATGCCATCAGTTTTTTTGCCTTGACAGACTCACTGAGCATCAGTCTTATTGAGGTTTACAGCATCACAGCAGAGGCAAATAACATTTCTCTCAGAGACCATGTCTATTTTTTATATCAAAGCTGTTCCCAATGTTTATGAAAACAAAGTTTCTTACATCTGCTAAATTATTCAAATCTGAGAATCCTGAAGCATTATGAGTTCCTAGGTCTAGATACACACCACAGATTAATTATCTCCCCAGAACAGGGCAAAAGTCCTCAGGAAAAACAACAGATGTATTGACAGGACACGATCTGTGTCATACTTTTACATATCCTTAACCTGAATGGTTTGAAGGTCGAGAATCCATGGCAAGATCCAGGGCAAGAAGTCAGCATACACATAGGCAGAAATTACCTCAGTTTGGCCCAATCCATTGCTACTAAATAAAACCCAAGGCCCTTCCATTGCAAACAGTGATCTCAATCCTTCTGACTTTACATAGGGATAGTACTGAAACATTCTCGACGCTCTGCAGTTTAAATTCCACCAGTTCTCCTCATGCTTAAGTCCACACCAAAAACTGTACTGAATCTCTTCCATAAAAAGTCACTAGCTCATCCCTAGAAAAGTCTATGATACTGACCCTAAGCTAATCACCATCAGTCTCCTTATAACAATTACATGTTATAAGTGTATCTTAAATCCAATCCCATACCCATTCACTCATGCAAAATAACTGCCTTTATTTGGTTCCTCACAAGTCAGAAAAAAATTCAGTCCCCTCCATATGAATCACAAAGAAGAGATTTAATACAATTTACTTACCGAAGGATTTCTTTCCGAGTGAAGAATGTGCAATCCTGTTAAAAAACAAAATGTGTCATTGTACTATAGGAATAGTGAAAACACCTGCAAAGAATTATTTTCCAACCGTTTTGAAGGAAACTCAGATCTTGCAGAAAAAAACACGAAAGGTGCCATTCATGTACCTTTGACTCAGAAAGCAATATACGCTATAAAATACCGGAAATACCCTAAGAACAAGACTACCAGTAAGATATGTATTGCTAGTATGAAATTCCAGGAGAAAAAAACCCAGCTTGTTGAAATACATCTCCAATGTGGAATGACCAGACCAGAAGCAAAACTAAATGGAGAAAGGTATAGGCCAAAAACATTCAATAAACAACAAAGAGATGAAGAAAATGTCTTCTAACTTGCAATACTCCTTTACTAGAGACAACTGTTTTAATACTAGACATGATGTACTTATTTATTAGCTATTAACTCCTTTTGCTAGAAATTACTTTGTACTGTGCATTCTAAATGGCTCTGTTGTGGGACTGAATTGACACTGGTTTAACTCACTTGATGAACATCTGTGTTATACTACAAGAATTCACACACTTCAAACAACCGTAATAGCAGCAGTGAAACAGATTGCATCTCATGCATTCCTACATCTGTCACAAGTCATAATGTCAGGTGCTGTGAGGAAATACGATAATCAGTTCCATTCCATTAACAAAAATCTCCACTATCTTATCTAAAGATATTTAAGGGAAATTCTGCCCGGCATCCAAGACTAGGAGCACCGGTGGCAATGAAATATTTGATAATCAGTTGAGAACATAATTCAGACAATAAATTCAGAGAATATACAACTTTTTGTCTTAGACCTCACTCATGAGGGTAAACAAAGAACAACGACCAAAACAGAAAATCTTCCTCATCATCCACCTATCTCACAGGCCCATGCGACGTGGCAAGGCCTAAGAATTCAGCTCTTAGTAGTTTTCCTCCTTTAATGTAAACATATTAGAAAACAGCATCTTTTTAAATCAGTTAGGGAGAAGATAACAGTATCACACATGATAACTCATACTTAAGAGTATATGCAACTAGTTTGACTCTCCCAATCCTGCTCTTCAGTCAATCAGTGAGAAAGCTTTTCCCTCCCAAGCTGAGAATCTTTCTGGCTAAATGCCTGCTTCTTCCAAGGAGAGGAAGAGCAGGTGGCCTCAGCCAGCGGCAGCAGTCCCACGGCCTGTCTCAGGTGTCCCGCACGCTATCAGCCCCGCACGCCATCAATTATTGAGTTTGCTTGTTCTCCTCCATATGAAGTGGCAGGAGCAGCAGCTCTTCCTGCAGCGGATTGTGTAGCAGAATAGCATTACAAGGCACCGGGGGAAGCACCTCGTGAGCTGCTGACACTGATGTCACATCGTCCGGAACTGCACTAAGTGAAACAGGAGCCAGCTGGTTAAGTCTTTGTGAATTCCAGCACAATCACCACAGTCAAACTGTCACTTTAGGATGCTTCATTGACTAAGGAAAGGCAGGTGCCATCTCACAAATAATTGTAACGCCCTCAGCAGCAATCACCCCGTAATTATGGAGGCTGGAGAGAACAGCAGACACTGTTACCTAATAAGAAAGCTGATGGGGAACTGATACGTAAACAGAGATAAAGATGAAAAGGAAAAGCTACCCTTTACCTTGCAGAAACCATGCAAAAACGCTATTGGAAGATAAATTAAGAGATCAGATCACAAACCATGTTTGCTAACAGTCCACATATTATTTTCATCTGAGTTGCCTCATGTCATTGACAACAAACACTAGTGACTGCATATATTTTAATCAAACAAAATGTTTACTAATCTGATCTAAAAATCGCTAATATTGAAAACCTTTACAGCAAAAGCATTCGCAAACTATTTGCCTGACCACTGCTACTGACTTCAGTATTCCAATTAGGCCTGTCAGACACATGTCAAAAAACCCTTGCAGCCGTTTCACAGACCACGTGCAGAGATCTTAAAAGCTACTCAGGGTCAGAGCACCACAAATTAGGTGTGACCTGCACTTTTGATCCACAGCAAGATCATCCCACTTAAGAAATGATTTACCATTAGAAGCCTGTCTGGCCTCCAGCAGCCAATGCAAAAGCCACAGCTCCACATGATCTCTGAAAGGAAGTCCAGCCTTCCCTCTTGCTTCTCCCACCTTCTTATTTCTGCCTTTTCTTTTATACAGACTTCACATTGATAAGGAGAATAACAGTGCCAGAGAACTCCAAAGGAAGGAACTAATGTGTTTGCAAACAAACCTAGCAATAATGGATGCATTTCCAACGTGGATCACTTCCTTTTAGTGACAGACTACAGTGCTGGCAGTGCTGGTACAAGAGACGAAGGTAAAACAAGCACTTACTGATGGCAGGAAAAGGGTGCAGGACTGCCCACGGGGTTTTTTGTTTGTTTGCTTGGGTTTTTTTGGAGTTTTTTTAAATCATAGTCCTAACTTCAATTAAAATCATGATGGAAGAAAGGTCTAAATAACATAATTACATTTTATAGTTGCTGGAACTCCAGCAATTTAATTCCAATTTAATTAGAGACTTTTGGCCAAAGAACCGCGGAGGTGAATCATCCAATTTTCTTCTGGCTACTTCATTCATACAGAGAATACACACTATAAATAGTAAACTAACATGTTAAATTAACTCTTTCATAAGGAAAGGTGGAGTGGGTCCTGGAAAGCATTTGTCATTTAAGCACATGATAACATTCATGTTCCTTCAAGCCAGAGTTATCATGGAACACATTTACTATTTTGTGGACTGCATTCAAGTTTATTACAAACACAAAAAGCAACCTGTCTATTTGGAGTCCTACTGGGAGTCCCACTAGAAAAGCACAAACTAAATACTGAACGAATAAACATTACTAGAGTTTGCAAAATTTTTATCAATTCAACATTTCTAGCAAGAATTGATCCTGAGAATCACTGCTTTTATTTCTTGTGTGTATACTGTGCATATATTGTATAATGGCCAGAAATACTTCTGCTAACAGGAGGACCCTTGCAGGCTTTAGGTTGTTTAAAATAGAGGTTTTGCCTTGGCAGGTCACCTCCTCCAGCCCCTGAGAACACATGTGCTCCTTCTCCAAGACCAACCATCCCACTCAGTCTGTCCTTGTGCCCTTAATAATCAAATTAATTAAAAGTTTGACGCGGGATCACTGCTGTTTTTTTAGAGGTAAGACATCACTTAGACAAAGCTGCAATTATTCACTTAACATCTTATGTCCAGTACAGTTAATAAAATCAAGCAAATAGAAAGTTTCCCAATGATTTCTACAAGAACATTATGTTGTCTAATGGGACTTTATTCTCAAAATGAGCGTTTAGATGGCTTAACCGGTTCTTAAAATATTTTGCAGAAACAAGAGGCAGACAGCTGGTGTACTTCGGTTGCGTGAGCAGTTGGTATTGGGACTTTCTGCAGGTCACTCAACGTGGCTTGGAAAACAGGGTTAATAGGCTCTGCTCTTCAAAACGACTTTTACAGAAGAGCAGCAGGTACATGCAGCTAGCTTTATTGTTTTGTTTCCTATGTCAGATGAATGCAAGTTTAGGACAGAACAGGAACTGGTTGAAACGGGCTGGTCCACCACCTTTTCCACTAGTCTGTAACACTTAACTGCCAACTCCTACATCAGTTCTGATCTATATTTAGTTCTACAGTGACCTGAACGAAAAAACAGGGAAAGCGAAAACTGCGCTGACAAGGCTGACAGTTAACTTGCCGTGGTGTCCACAGCCAGGGTAACATGAGGGTGATCCCGCAGCAGCCCCCGCACCGGCCGCGGCGCCAGACGGACGGACGCGGACGGACGGCCCCAAACGGATGGCCCCGAACC